TATATATGTATATATATATATACATATATATATATATACATATATATATATACCGTCGTTACCTGGTCGCCAGACGTGAGAATCAGTATTGACGTCGTCAAGTGTTTGTCGTCCTCGACAAATCGCGCCCTGATTTCCTGTGCAAACTAACAGTCATTTCCAATGATATATTCATCGGTCTAACAGCGCATACAGAATTAGGTGATCTCTCCGCGTCTGCTGAATATCAAATCATCTCCGCTAAGCCCACCGCGATAAATCAACGCTTGTAAACGTCCTTGTAAAACGCGCAGCACATTTGTTTACACTCGCGCACGGATTACGCTCCGCCATCTTTATTCGATCAGGCCAGCCGACTCGATTCATAAGCGACGCTAACGACCCGCCATTATACCGCACACGTCATCGCGGAAGCGACAACAAAGCCACCTTATGCAAATGCGCCGCATTACCATCCGTCATTAAATTAAAGCCATCGCACGTCGAAAGCTATTCACGTTTTATGTCTTCTATTGCGGCTCGAAGAGCATGAATCGACGATGAAATTCATACTCGAAAATAACTGTCGGCCGTGTCAGGACGCATTTGCAAGCGAATAGTGCAGAAGTGCTACGCGGCTGATGATACATTCGATAAAGGCGCTGATTCGTTTTTAATGTTTTGAATGTCTGATTCGCCAACGCGACATCGGAATCCCAAATTTTGCCTTTCTGCCGCGCGCGCCGTCCATTCACGTAGGCGAGCAAGAAAAAATTATTTTAAATTTTTCGCGGTCGGCTCTCAACTCGTCTCACTGAAGCCTGCGGAGGAGGCAGCGGCGGAATATGGCTTGACAGGGGGTCTTTGTTTAGCTGCATCACATACACGCCCTCGGCAACCGCTTCCTCGATCAACAACTTGTTGGACAATCGGTGTCAGCAAGTGATAATCATTCATAGCACGTGATAATCGATAGACGTGTGTGCTAATAGATGAAGGGGTGCGATAATAAGTAGTCATAACGTGCAATAATTATCAGCGATAACGTTTGATAATCAGCGATAGAAAATGATAGTCATGGTGATTGTGTGTTGCT